CAGGAAAATAAGTATATGTGTTCGTATTTCGAATCTATTTACGAAATCAGAAAATGATCAGAACGATAGACCTCGAAATTCCATGTCTCTGAGGTTAAGGTAACTGTGAATCTGTGGAGTTAAATATTTGATAACAAATCCATGATGCCAAGTTCCAAAATTGTTGATAGGCATACCAACAGCCGAAAAATCGCTCTTGGTTAACATAGGTAAAATGAAGTAAGTAGCACACTATATTATTTAGTTGTTCCTATTATAACGAAACAACTAGTTGATAAAATTACTCAAGTGACTAGAGAGGATGAACTAACAGACCACTCGTGGAACCAAAACCTAAACGCCAAAATGAATAGTAATCAAAATACAGAAACTGATCAGGTCTCTGAATATACTGTTATTATTGGTTAATTAAGACTGTCATTTATGAAAAACATTTAAACAACCTAGTATGACTGAGTTATGCATCAGATGGCAAGTGATCACTAAACAATGAACATAAGAGTCAAAACGACTAGTGAGGTTTCATCGACGCCTCTCGTGTCAGTTATTCATTAAGAAGGAAACATCTTACTACTGCTTTATGAAACTACTGCTGACTGTTGTTCCATACTAAATTTTTTATCGAGTACACTGTTCAACAAGGCACAAGCTGAATACACAGAAGTAGACAAACAAGTGAAGAGGAACATCAGAACCGACAAACGTAAATATGTGGAAGATCTAGCAACGACGGTGGAAAAGGCTGCAAGAGAAGAAAACATGAGAGAACTGTATGACACGACAAAGAAACTCTATGGAAGTCGCCGCAAAGCAAAACGACCAGTGAAAAGCAAGGAAGGCGAGGTAATCACCAACATTGAAGAGCAACAAGACAGGTGGGTAGAACACTTCAAAGAACTCTTGGATCGACCAACTCCACTGTACCCACCCACCATCGAAGCAGCACCCACGGACCTCCCAATCAATGTTGGCCCACCAACAATTGAAGAAATCAGCATGGCCATCAGACAAATCAAGAGTGGAAAAGCAACAGGACCAGACAATATTCCAGCAAAGGCACTAAAGGCAGACGTAGCGGTAACCGCAAGGATACTCCACATTCTCTTCAATAAGATTTGGGATGAGGAACAAGTACCAAAAGACTGGAAAGAAGGACTCTTGATCAAAATACCGAAGAAAGGCGATCTCAGCAAGTGTGATAACTACAGGGGCATCACTCTTCTCTCAATACCGGGAAAAGTCTTCAACAGGGTATTGTCAAACGTAATGAAGGACTGTATAGACGCCCAACTTCGTGGTCAACAAGCAGGATTCCGTAGGGATAGATCGTGTACAGACCAAATCGCAACTCGACGGATGATTGTGGAACAATCCATTGAATGGAATTCATCACTCTACAGCAACTTCATTGACTACGAAAAGGCATTTGATAGCGTGGACAGAACAACACTATGGAAGCTTCTTCGACAATACAGCGTGCCTCAGAAGATAGTCAATATCATTCAGAGTTCATATGATGGATTACACTGCAAAATCGTGCATGGAGGACAGTTGACAAAGTCGTTCGAAGTGAAGACCGGTGTTAGGCAAGGTTGCTTACTCTCACTCTTTCTCCTGGTGATCGACTGGATTATGAAGATATCAACATCTGACGGGAAACACGGGATACAGTGGACATCTAGGATGCAGTTGGACGATCTAGACTTCGCAGATGATCTGGCCCTTCTATCCCAAACGCAACAACAAATGCAGGAGAAGACGAACAGTGTGTCAACAGCCTCAGCAGCAGTAGGTCTCAATATACACAAAGGGAAAAGCAGGATTCTCCGACACAACACAGCATGCACCAATCCAATAACAATTGACGGAGAGGATTTGGAAGATGTAAAAACCTTTACAGATTTAGGCAGCATCATTGATGAACAGGGTGGATCTGATGCAGATGTGAAGGCGCGGATCGGCAAAGCAAGAGCAGCATATTTACAATTGAAGGACATCTGGAACTCAGAGCAACTGTCAACCAACACCAAGGTCACGATTTTCAATACAAATGTCAAGACAGTTCTACTGTATGGGGCAGAAACCTGGAGAACTATGGAAGACATTATTCAGAAAATACAGGTGTTTATTAACAGTTGTCTACGCAAAATACTTCAGATCCATCGGCCAGACTCTATTAGCTACAACCAACTATGGGAGAGAACGAACCAGATCCCAGCGGAGGAAGAAATCAGGAAGAAGCGCTGGAAGTGGATAGGACACACATTGAGGAAAGCACCCAACTGCGTCACAAGACAAGCCCTCACATGGAATCCTCAAGGCCAAAGGAAAAGAGGAAGATCAAAGAACACATTACGCCGAGAAATGGAAATAGACATGAGAAAAATGAACAAGAATTGGATGGAACTAGAAAAGAAGGCCCAGGACAGAGTGGGTTGGAGAATGCTGGTCGGCGGCCTATGCTCCATTGGGAGTAACAGGCGAAAGTACGTAAGTAAGTAACTGAACTTCTGCTCCCATTATTATCATCATTATTAATATTACTCACATCTCACACTTATTTCTGTTTATTGTTCTTCTTTTGTATTATGCGCACTTTATATTCCCTATCTCTGTGGCACATATGTATTTGGTGCCCTCTTATTCCAATGTTTATGTGTTCGAACAAATAATAAGACTCTTAAACACTTGTATAATATTTAACTGTCATACATTATACACCCAGATTTCTTCTTTGCATAGAAAGTGACTAACAGAACACTGACAAAATTTAGTAGTGGCTTCTATTATGAATAAATAGTAATATATTAACAGCAGTACATTGCATGAATTTATTTTAAATCTGATATATATATATATATATATATATATATATACCTCTTGTTCTATTATATCGATCTTTTCAAGTGAAATTCAATCGATATTCTTTAAAAGGTGACAGTTATTATTCTGTTAGTGTCTGTTCGTAATGGGATAACTCAGATGTAGGTGGGTTGTAGGATGATCAAAGTCTCTGTCCCTTGAGAGAGAGAGGTGCATAAACATTTTTATGCTTTAATTCTTCGAATTCGGCCCATAATTTTTATCTTGTAATTATTTTTCATATCTAATGAATTGGAGCCAGCTTCCTTAAGAAATTATCTGGCGAATTATAGTGCAAATATCATCACAAATAATAAATTAACAAATTAATAGTAAGTAGTAACTTGTTCAAATACCTACATGCTTATACTTCAGTTTAAACTGTAAATTTTGGACTATACTAACATAAACCTACGTCAATCATTGCCATAGCTATTTACAGAACTTTGGTAAAATCCAGTCGAATGTGGAATCCAATAGTTTGAACGATTATGGATGATGCCGAAATTAACTTAATTGTCAAAGAAAATAAAAAACCAGTCAAAGAAAAATTTCTTTAACTTTTAAATTCCCTGATAAATCTTACTGAGGAAAGAAACAACGTCCAAAAAGTCCTTTCATGTTATCTGACTTCCACTAATCAATTGACTGGAACCGAAGAACAACAAAGAATTGAGTACTGAAATAGAAAGGTTGAAGATAACATCAATGGAGCATTCAGTGCCTAGTTGTATGAATATAAAATGGACAACCAGTCTTAAGTGACATTCATACTTTACTGGAATTTTCAGTTACTTCTGTTAACTGAAAATAAAGAGGGCATCTAGTGAGTTGTGTTATAAAAGACAAATAAATTAGAAGTGAAGTAACTGGCATCATTTTTTATTAAATTACATACGAATACATTCAAACAATACTATTTAATGATTATCGTCAACCCAAGAGAGTGTAAGTTAGAATGATATCTTCAGTATTATTAGGAAAATGAGTCATGCATAAATTCTCCTGTTTAGAAGTTAAACACAACCCGATGAGATGACCTTGTACTACTTAAATTGTTTGTAAAAAAGACTGTATATTTTGTTCAGTTTGTCGAAATAGAAAGATAGATTTTTGTATGATTATTTCAAGCTAATCACATGAGCAAAATGGATCTATTTTACTAGGGGTATGTAGTTAGGTGGCAAACGTTTTCACCACTCAATGTCTACCTAAGCAACACTATAAACTTCGAAAAGTAATAACGGCGTATAATTAGTGCAAAATCATTTTAGCAGTTTTAATCTAATGCAGACCAGGTTGTTTTTGTTTGCCTATGATTAACACAAAATACAATTTTCGTAAAAATGGATGACTTCTGTACAATCATACTCAAAAGATCGTGTTACTTATTTTAACTCATCATATTTCGTATCATGGAGCCGTAGATAGTTCGTGTAATTTATTAAATCTTAGTCATTCTTCCTTGAACCAAACACTATTTAAAATAGATAGAACTTACATAAATAAATATATTTTTTGTTATATCCCAATAAGTAGAAAATTGTATTTTCGACATTTCGTAACTTAATGTAAGCCACTTCAGTTATTTATCTATTCCGAGGAAGTGGTTTACATTAAGTCACGAAACGTCAGAAATACAACTTTTCTACTCATTGGGATATGACAAAATATATATTCATTATTAAATCTCTACCCAATGCTCAATTTATTTCAAACTATCAGGTCCCACCTTGTCATTGATACCTATGAACTTACATAGACTCCAAGATTGTCAAATGAATGCAAGTTCATCGGTAATTTTAATGTTCAGTATTGAAAGTTAATAGTAACGCCCTGTCATATTTCATGTCAGTGGAATTTATTGACGGATGGTTCACTCATACCATTTGAGCGAATTTGTATCGGTTTTGTTTAGTTTGATTATTGTTCTTTCAGAAAGTTAAGAATAGAATCAAATAATAGAAAATAATATTATTCCACTTCAGTTTAATAACATCTCGTATAGACTTGTTCTCTCAAAGTGTATATGATTAACTTCGATATATTGTTAGTTTGGAATTTACCTCACATACATTTGAAATATTGATTATAAATATTGAAGTGATTTTTCTCTTATTATCGATTATGTTATGAACGATACACTTATTGTCGAAATCAATAAGATTAGGTCCTGTAAATTATTTGTGAATTATGTGAAGAAGGAATACATTTATACTTTTTTTCTGCAGTCTTGCATACTTTCTGCGACCTACATAATCCAGTTATGTTTCGATGAAACCAGGTCCATTTTCTGATAACACTTACTCATTATAAATTTGTAATCTGGAATATAAACTTTCAGGGTGTCAACGTAAAAAGTTTGTTGAACAAATTAAACACTAATTAAACAAGACTCATGACAATCTTTAGACATTCATTCTCCCTTTGTAACTCATGCTTCTCATCATGCAGTGTAAACTAATGCTTCATGCTTCCGTGATCAGTTCTACAGATTTATATAAAATTTAATTTTCCACCTTAAATCAGTGAATATTATTTATAGGATACTAAGTGAATTTTATGATGTCTCCTCCTCAAAAACCAAAATAACTTTACGAACTGTTGGAAATCTGTCCTGATTTACTTTCAAGTTCTTTGGATAATGAAAACCATAAATCCGCCATCGAATCAAATTTAGGATTTTGTAGTAAACAAACTAGTGTTGGAACACTGGATGAGGAGTGAATTATCGACAATTTGTCAAATGTTACCGATAGAAATTCGTTACAAGACCACTGTAGAAGTGGAGAGTGGTGAATAAGAACGATGGTGCTAATTGTACTTTGACTTTCAATTCATCCTTATAAAACGATGCTATATGTTGATGATGAACCTTTCACTTTAAATGTAAACAAGAATGAAATTCAAACAGTATTGTTTATTGAGTAACTAATGTGTTTATCTTATCAATATGGTTTCTCTCTGAATTGTATATACGCAATGAGAATTCTGGTGTAGATTAGAAAATACGATACAAATAAGATAATGTGTGCAAAACTATACACACAGATACATGAGATGTTGGTTTAAATACAGAAATCTGTTTGATATTTTTATTAGTCTTTTCTCAGGCGTTTGAAAAAAGAAAACAATAAATAGCAGATGAAGAGAGAGAGATGGCTATGAAAAGACAAGATACTACTATGTTGGAAACGAAGAAAATAAGGAAAAGATAAATTGATGGGGAGAAAGGAAACACCAAGAAACCACAAAACTGGACGCCAAAATGAGGAGAAAAGGCACACACGCACAAGTACGGCACAAAGTAAGCAATGGTGAGGCAGAGATACAGAAACAAAGCAAAGTACAGAAAAGAGAAGAGAGGTATCGGAAATGGCACTGAGAAGATTGGAACACACAAGGAAGTGATCATGATAAAAAATGTAATCAGAGTGAAAGAGATCCGTTATAGTTCATTTTACGTATACACTAAATTGAAAACGAGTAATTATATCATTCGAGCAGGGAGGGAGAGAAAGGATGATGACAGTGCTCTGAAGGCAATCCAGAAAAAAGAGCAAATAATAACGCGGCATAAAATATTTCTAAAACTATTTCATATTGACGTATGAAAATGAAAGAAACTAGGCAAGAGAAAAATAACTAAATCATTATGCAAAATCATAACAAACAAAAATGATAAGATACAACGAAAGTAAAATCAAGAAAACAGGCATATTTATCTACGGTTCGTTGACATTGAATTATATATACCAGAGTATACATCGATATTTGTGTCCTTTTTGTATATGCAAAATTGACTGCTTCCAAATTAAATGTATAAATTGAAAACAATTGTAGTGGGAAAAACCAATCAAAGAAAAGCATCAGTCATGTTTATCTTTCACCACAAAACAAATCGATTGAGTTGATTTAAGATTTCTTTAAAACGGATTCCCATTACACACGAACAAAAACCCGTAAAACCATACATATCGGTTATAAAAAGAAACACATCGAATAAGCAATTTATAGCATTGAGCTAAATTAGGATGTGAAATAGAATAGTTTTTCCGGAAAAAAAATCAGTAACACTTCAAATAGAATGGAAATAAATTATACAGTAAGATAAAATTATGTTTTCGTGTAATACATTGGTTTATACGAATTGTTTGTACATTTTCGAGTAAACAAATACACAACAACGACAACAATGAAAAATAAACTAGAGTAAATAAGTAAATAAAACAAGTGAAAATAAGATTGAATAATAACAGATTGGAGACTTAATAAAACTTGAACTACACACATCATAAAAGCGTACTTATATATATATATTAAAATCACTTATTTCCACCAGACCATTCTATGAGGTATAGGAACAATAAGTATTAGATGTATGTATTAGTAAATAAGAATAGATAGGTAGTGAGTAGCATAATTATTCACTTTTTCTACTGTACTCTATACATAATAATCACATGGATTGATTGTTACAGTATTTTCCTAGTCTCTTAGTTTTATTCTATGTCAAACATGCACATTATAATACACTCCGTCCAATATCACCGAGACTGAATATGTGTACAAATATCATTATCATTAACAAATGTAACCGAATAAAAATTGAGACCATTGCGAAATTACATTTCATGAAGAATGTGAAAGTATGTACTAATACATACTACTTCGTCTGTGTGTTTGTACAAAGATTCCTGTTAATCAAGAAGCTAATTAAAATGCTGTCGCCAAATCACAGGTTTCATTTGTTTTAGTCTGTTTGTTATTACCTGCATCAATGATCTGCAAAATATATTAAAAAAGAGAAGGAAAAAGACAACTGAAAATATAGTAGTAGCATTGATCGCATTATTAAAACTGGTATTATTATACACGCGTTAAAAAATTACGTAAAATCACATCACAGCACACGCACAATGTGGCTTAAAAAAATCGATAAGTTATATACACCAACAGCAAAACATACATGTATAATAGGTGTACAAACATGGATGTATGTTTGTGTGCATACGTGTTTGCCGATATGATAATGTGCAATGTGTATTAAGAGCAAGAATTTTTATTGATGTTCATAAACAAAAAGTTTATACACACAGAAAAACTAGACTGTATCCTAAAAACATACGATTTCTCAAAGCGATAAATTTGAGAGATTTTCATGTGAATATAAGGTAGTATATTCTTTGAGCTCGATATTTTAACTGAAGAGATTTTACTGTCATTCTGGACATTTATAGGGTCTACTACTTCATGTGGGAAATATTGTGTAGAATGGCAATGAAAGCTCTGAAATTCAACTGCCTAGGTCAGAGAAAACAACAACAAGACCGCCGATATATATAATCTGTGTGATTAGTAAAATCCACAAACTATTACAGTAGTCACTGTAGAGATTTTGTACAAGCTGTTAGATATTGTAGATTACATCACAAGGTGATCATATTTAAAAATCGATAGTGGATCAAGAAGGACTGTGTAGCTATTTCATACCAGAACAATACTCCGCAGTAGTGTCCATGCACAACGCAATCACAAATGAAACCCAAGAACTTCAGATCTCCTTCACTTATTTAGTTGATCCTTCCTGGATATTTCTAAAAAAAAGATCCTTCTTCATTCATGAGTGTAATTACATACAATTCATAGTGATCACAAAATGCTAAAAAAAAACTGAAGATTACCACAAACCAAAACAGTCTAATAGCTAGAAACTTAGTCGATAGAGGCATTATTTTCAACTTTCTTAGAGGACTCAAAATAACTAACAGACAAAAAGTGTGGTTTCATTATGTTACATACAAGCAAGTTGTTGTCTGAACTTTGTGACGATGTCTTCTAAGTCTCTGATTAATTCAGGTCACAACTAAAAGTTCTTGTTTAAAGACGCTCAAGCATATTGAGTTGTACAATCAAAAAATAACTTCAACGTTTTAGGTCTAATAAAGTGAACTTCTAAAAGGTCAGACCGGATCAATGCAGAGGGCGCATACTAAATATCATTGGTAGCTTCACTTATCGATCATCATTAACCATTTTATTCACTTCAAATTATTATTTTCTCTAATTCCTGATTCTCATTCATCTAATTCTTAAAACCGTCAAATTTTCAGATCTATGATGCAGTTTATTTTATCAATTTTTGAATTATAGATAATTACTATCTCAACCCCATTTTATTTTCTAGATTTATAGTCAAATAACCTAACACGTCTACATGAAATAACAACCCTTGTCAAATATAAATTTTTCATTCACAAATATTTATCATCTAATATTATTTCATACTTCAATAAGAATATGGTTATGAGCAGTTGACGATAACCTACGAAACAGAAATGGATTTATACTATTCTATTTAAGTTGTTATCTTTGCTTTCTGGTCAGATTCACATAAGGGAATAATTAAACTGAGTACGTAACTGACATGTCTTAAAGTCAAATCTATGTGAGAAAAGTTGTTTATATGTCAAGATATGAAAGCATCTTAGAAATAATTTAAAATGATCTGTAGCTCGAATTAACCAAGAATTTCAGTCATTCTAAACAGAATAATACACACGAAAAGGGAAGAAAATACTAGGTAGTGTTATTTGAATGATATTTCATTAGAATTACATTTCCAGAGACGAAGTTTCAGTTTGTAAGCATCAATATCGTGGAAGGTCAAAATCACCTATACAATAAAATCAGTAACCTGAATAGATTCACATTTAAAGGTTGCTTAATTCCATTAATTTTAATAATTCACCAGAATAAAAGTTGCACGGATAATCTTGAAATTAAGACTAAAAACACTATGTGAAAAAAGGCGCATATGATATGAAACAATCAAGAGTAAATAGAGTACGAAACCTTACATGAATGATCATATTCTTATTGATTAGTCATGTGCACTAACATTTCCAAAATAGCAGAATTATGAATTAATTCCGTAATGGTTATCACTAACAGTGCAACATCAAGAAACAAGCGGTTACATAAGGTTCAAAAGGAAAAACAACTAGTTAGCTGATAAATTTGCAAAAAGTTAACACAATAACCCAGTGCATTAAAAAACTTGGCTAATAATAATTGGATAGTGGATTCCCAAATTCATAAACAACACCTATATTAATTATTACAAATGAATAATAACCTTAGTTCTTATCCAATGAATACAACTCATAGTCGACTATCTGTATCTAAACCTAGTTAATTTATATTATCTTATAGAATAAGTTCGAGAATTAAGGATTTGTGAAAAAATGAATGAATAATTGATTTTTATCTGCTACAATAGTCAGCAGTAAAACTACTCATTTAACAATTTATTATCTTATCCACCAATGAAGTACATGTTTACACGAAAAGCCACACTTATTCTAAACAGTAACCTCTATCAATCATCCGAAGTTATTTACAGTAGGTAAATTGGTTGTACGCAGCGTAGACTACGACACATATGGGCATCGATTCAAGTTGCCTTAGCATATTAACATAGATGTATGAAATTATTTCGAGACGTATCAACAAGTGGTAGAAATGGCAACAAGATCAGTAAAAGTAGAAAAGAAAAAAAGGTTATGAGATCTCGGGGACTAGGTTATAAAGAAAGACAAGGAGTGAATGGACGAGGACTATTGAGAACGATTATGAGATATGCCACCCGAAGTTTCTAACCACTAATTACGACAATCATGCCAATCCTAACCAGGTAATCTAGACCTACTAACGAGGCTCAGGAAAACAGTCAGTGACTTGATGCGTTGATTCCAAGTCTTGGTTAGGTCGCCCCTAGCATTCTTCCAACCTAATACACTACACAGTATCGTCCACCGAGGTAGGTGGTGGTTAGGCATACGCAACGCAACACGTGTTCTAACTAACTCAGCTGGTGAAGATTCATTAGCTCATTGATCGTTTTGCAATATTTACCTAGTACCCTGTGCGAAACCTCGAGACTGCTCACTCGGTGGTGCCGAAATACACGAGCGATGCTTCGAAGATACCTATACTCAAATATCACCTATTCGTAATAGCCATGTCTCATATCCATAAAGTAGAACGGAGCGACCTGTTGTGCAGAAAACTAGTCCTTTGGTTGGTAGACAGATATCTCGTCTATCTACCAAGAGATGCAAACTGCCAGAGCCAGCTGAGCTTTCTGAATCAATGTCGAGATTTTGTTAAAAATTAGCCCATTACGTAGTCTATAAAATATGAACTAAATGTAATTCGATTTAACGATGATTCCTATTTACTACCAGAACATTAAATTGCTGAAAAGTGTTGATTAGCTCAGAACATTGTTCATGCTTCTATTGTACATGAAGTAGGAATATAAATTACCAAATTCTAATGTTGTGTTTCATTGAATTTCAACAAGAAAAAACTCAATTGAATATCATTTATACAAAAACTATAAACATTCATTTTCCATTCAACTAATTCAGTAACGCAAAGGTCTACGTGATTTAAATACACCAATCATATATATAAGAGAAAATCCTGACCAGAAAATACAAAAATGTTTGTATTTTTCTTACGTCTTTTTGTGTTGAACTTATTATGCAAAATGTGTACCATCTATGGATACACGAGTTTATATTTGAATCTGTAAAAATTAAAAGTGTTGATATGACCAGAAGAGAATAATTCTATATACAGAAACACAATGAATTTATCTTATTTCTTATGAAACACAAATAAAGAAAAATCTTTCCCAAAAATTACTACATATAAACAATTGAATGAGAAATCGGGTGGTAATGTTGATTATGGAGACCTGTGAAACTAAAATAAACGTTTAATCGACTCCATAGTTCATATTCCATTTAATTAATTTGAATGAACTTCGATAACCCATTGCACATGGTTATGTACTAAGCTTCATGTCATATCAATTATGGACGAGGACTAAGGAATTACATACTGCTTGCTATTTGTCTGTCAAACCCAAAGTAGACAAAAATTGGTTTAGAATTACAATCCAAATGGATGAAGATTAAATAAGTTAACATTTAATGGAATTATACTCTACGACTAGTAAAAGATCGAATAATAGTCAAGCTTATTGATATGAAAACATCTAGGAATGTGCAGATTTAAATCTGGCTTCATTTGGAATAGATTTTTTAAATTAAAAAAAAACGATGTTTTGAAGTATACAGGCTACGAAGCGTTATACTTATATCCCAAAGAAAAGTGAATGTAAATATATAAAAAAACAACTCAAAAACATTAGATCATGATCAAAAATTAAGGTGACGAATTGTAGATGCATCATAGATGTTATCATAATACAATCTTCAGGCTTTATCCATCGTAACGATAAAGCATAGTTAAGAGGAATACTTGTTTTCTTTTTTGGGGTCCTATCATATTATATCGGTTGATTTTGAGATTTTACGAAAAAAACTACATTTAAAAGTGTTGGGAGATCCAGAATACTCCTAAAAAAAGCCAAGAAGGCTTTGAAAACACTAAGAAGCACCTTATCCGATCAGCGTTCGCTAGAAGATCTGCCAGAAACATCAAGAAAGTGAAAAGTCACATGTAGAGTTTCTGATTGGATGGTTACCTATACTGCTTCTATGTTTAGAAGCATTCCAGAATTTTCAAAACCCACGGACATCTAAAATAATATAAAAACCCTATATTTTCTGTACAAGAACGAACCTTTAGAGTAAAGCGTTCCTTACATATTTCGTACCTTTCCTCTCGTGTTCTGTGCCTGTCCCAACAAAACCTTGCTTCTAGTGAATTACAAGTATCACATACTGGTTCAAAAATTAATGCTATGCATGAATTTAATTTTGATGGTGTAGCAGGTGTAACTTTTGATTCTTGGTTTAAGTAATATGAAGATTTGTTCTATATTAATCTCTGAAGACTGGATGACCCCTCAAAAGTCAGAATACTTCTAAGAAAACTTGGGATGACGGAATATGAACACTATAGTAATTTTATTCTCCCGAAGAACCCACGAGACTTTAGTTTTGATGAAACAATTAAAACCCTGTCTCAAATCTTTGGAGAACAGTCATCTCTATTTAATATCCGTTGCCAATGCTTGAAGATAACGAAAGAACCAGATGACTGGGTGAAACATACAGGAATTGTGAACCGAGAATGTCAGAGGTTTAAGTTGTCTCCCATGACTGAAGACCATTTTAAATGCCTAGTATTTATCTGTAGCCTGCGTTCACCCGAGGATGCTAACATCCGAACAAGAATCCTAAGCAATCTCGAACACTGTCCCAACATGACCCTATAGGAAGTAGCTACTGAATGCCAAAAGTTAGTGAATTTGAAGCATAATACCTCAATGGTAGAGAACGGTAACATGTTCCTTCACGTTAATTCAGTTGAGAGAAAAGTCTTACAGGGTTCGAACACGCAGAATTATCGTAATGACAGTGTCAATCCATCATTCTCATGCTATTTATGTGGCGGTTGGCGTTTCAAAAGGTTTGAACCGTTTAAAAATCACCTTTGTACTATGTGTTTCAGAAAAGGGCACAAAGAAAGTCATTCCGAAACCCGGAAACGCCGTCAACCGAAAGTGTATTCTAAAATATGCAAGCCACGAACAGCTAAAGTAACGGTAGCTCTAGACAAAGTATGTTGCTCTCAAGATTAATGGGTATGACGCCCGCTTACAGTTAAACATAGCCTCCGCCTCCGACATAACACTTAGAAACAGAAGAACGTGGGAGAAGATTGGGACACCGCGAATATATTCAACTCACCAATCAGCACATAGTGCATCCGGGGGAATTCTAAATATTGCTGGCAAGACTCACTGTGAAGTCACTCAAAGAGTTTACGGAGAAGGGAGTAATATTTTTGACAGAACGTCCATCACTCGACATATTGGGGCTTGATTGGATAGAAAGGTTGAAGTTATCAGACCGTCCCATAAACTCGATGTGACGACGTCAGTACATCGAAAGTCGAGAAAAACTCAGTGGAAACATTATCAAAACGACATAAAATCTTATTTAGTGAGGGTCTTGGAGAATTCATTAAATTTAGAGCTGCTCTTACACTTCGAAAGGGATCGAAGCCTGTGTTTCGACCTAAAAGACCTGTACCATATGATGCCTTCCCAGTGGTTGAACATGAGCTAGAGCGACTTCAGAAATTGGGTGTCACTGAACTGGTGAATTTCTCAAAATGGGCTGCACCGATAGTGGTAGTAAAGAAGACTAATGGTAGCGTCCGTTTATGTGCCGACTACTCAACCGGGCTAAATGAAGCCCTAGAAACTCATTAGTATCCATTACCTCTACCTGAATATCTTTTGCTAAACTGAATGAAGGCAAGCTCTTCGCAAAGTTGGGTTTATCGGAAGCTTATTTACAAGTTCCTGTTGCTGATGAGTGTAAAAACCTGCTCACCATAAACATATACAAGGGCCTATTCCGGTATAATCAACTACCTTTCGGAGTCAAGACGGCCCCATCCATATTTCAGCAAGTCATGGATACTATGCTACAGGATGTTCCAGGCGCTGCAGCTTATCTGGATGATATAATAATTACGGGAGTAGATAGAATAAACTTAGAAAAGAAGCTCGACCAGGTGCTGTCACGAATATTCGAATATGGATTTTGGCTCTGTCCAGAGAAATGTAAACTTTGTATCCAAAAGGTACGCTACCTCGGATTTATAGTCGACAAAGATGACAGAAGACCAGATACAGAGAATATCGCAGGCAGTGAAAGCTATGCCTAGACCGACGGACGTCCTCACACTTCAATCATTTTTGGTACTAGTCAGTCATTATGAAGCTTTTATCCCTAACCTTCATCAATTACGTGCCCCTTTAAATAACCTTCTGGCGAAGAATGTAAAATTGAATTGATCTGTAACTTGCTAAGTCAATCAAGAAAATACTAATTTCGGATTTGTTGCTCACCCATTACGATCCATCTTTACCCACTGTTGTAGCATCAGATGCTTCAAACTACGGTATAGGAGCAATTATTTCTCACATCATGCCAGATGGATCTGAGAAAGCCATATCACATGCGGCTAGATCGTTAACGTCAGCAGAATGTAACTACAGTCAGATCGAGGAGGAAGCATTGTCGATTAACTTCCTTGTAAAGAAAATCCACAAGATGATATTTGGACGTCATTTCACCCTATTAACTGACCATAAACCATTACTAGCCATTTTTGGGTCGACGAAAGGTATCTCGATATACACAGCAAACAGACTGCAACGTTGGAGAACTACATTCTTGGGTTATGACTTCAAGATTAAGTACCAGCCCACTACAGATTTTGGACAAGTTGACGCTTTATCTAAAATGATTGGTTCACAAGTAAAACAAGAAGACACTTTGGTGGCAGCAATCGAGACGGAAACAGAAGTACATCGAGTATTGGAAGACGCCGTCGATGGTTTACCAGTTACTTTCAAGGCCATCAAAGAAGCCACGGAAAATGACAAGACATTAAGAGAAGTTATTGGTTACTTTCACACCAACTGGCCGAACCGTCGTTTTCAAAGGAAGTGCTATAATATTTTCGCCGACGGGACTCACTCATGATGGTCTATTCCTGTATTATGTTTGGTGACAGAATTTTTGTTCCAAAAAAATTAAGCTACAAGGTTCTGAGATAATTCGACCGCGGTCATCCCGATATCAATAAGATGAAAGCGTTGGCTTGAAGCTATGCTTACTGGCTTACAATGGATCAGGATATCGAAACCAGATTCCGCCATTGTTCGTCGTGCCTGTAAGCAGCTAAAAGTCCAAAGAAGTGTAGACCACAACAATGGTAAAAACCCAATAGTCCCCGGGAGAGGCAGCAATATGAGGAAGAATGTTTCTAGTCATAGTGGACGAACTCACAAAATGGCCACAAATCTATGCCATGGCAAATTGCACAGTCAATGAAACATTCAGTAAGTTATTTGGGCTGTTTAGTTGCTTTGAATTTCTGGAGACCTTAGTGACCGATAAAGGCTCACAATTCACTGCAGAATCATTCAAGCATTTCTGCAACATTAATGGAATTGTACATATACAATCTCCACCCTATCATCCCCAATCAAATAGACAGGCAGGGAGCTTCGTGGACACATTCAAAAGGGCACTACTGAAAGGGGAAGGCGAGAGGAAAAGTCCAAAAAAACTTTCAGTGAAAATTCTACCCCTTATCCACTCCATTTATCCTTATCAACAGGTTGTAATTGATGGTCAGATAGATGGACTAAAGCTTTTTCTTCATCCAATGATTATTTTTATCTAAGTAGGAAAAGCTTTACATTCGAAGAAGATTAGCTCAAATCTAAAAGTAACTCATTATTTTTAGTTTTTTTGTGTTTCATCTCAATTCTTTTTTGAGTTATATCAATAGATTCCAAAGTCAGGTTATTCCAAAAGAAAAAAAGAAATTTGCTTCAATACCTGAAGACGGTTCATTCCCATAAAATGTATATTTTTGTCATAATCATTTAACATATAATGCGTTAGTGTAAACAGAACCTGATTCGACCAACGAACAATTAGATCACCCATCTGGGACTATGCAGCATCTTTATAATGTGAAAATTAAATGTTCAGCCGTTTAACGTGTTATGCACACGTAGTATATTAAGCTCTAGATACACGAGACCTTGGTTAGTAAATATTTGCAAATTATTTATGAGGTCATATTTATGAAGCTATAGTCAAGAATGGAACGGCCAATTATGGAAAACAAAATTAGGTTATGTGAAAATACTGTCAAGAAGTCTGGTTGCATTACTATTATTAATATCGTTATTGTATAAAAAGTATATTCAAAATACGTGATAAAAGGAATCTAATTGTAGTTTATATATAGGAAACATCAAGAAAACATACCTCGTCTGACGACTGACGATCCTCTGTTTTAAGTCCAGTGAAATCAACAGATGATGGACGAGGTATATAATGTTTAACTTCTGAAAATGGTAATGTTGATGAAGATTTAACTGAAGTAATATCTTCAATTTCAATCGTAGCTTGGGTATAAGGACGACTATTATTGCTATCATTTGTAATAAGAGTAGTGTTATTATTATCATTGACGAGATTATCAGATGAAGAAACAAATTGCATTTTTGATATTCTTTCAGGCAATAGCTGATTCTCATCGTAAAGTTTATACTCCACTTCACGCTGATGATCATATTTACTTGTGTTAGCATCACCATCGCTATCGTCATCGTCATCATCATCATTGTCGAATTCATTCCAAATGGTTGATTTCATTGAAAACGTTTTAGGCGTCTCCATAATAGGTAAACTTGATGGTGGTATACGCACTAAAGGATAACATGATATATGCGATCTGGGTACAAGACCTCGTTGACCTTCAGAATTTTCAGCTAACATCCATTCTATTTCACCAGGTGGCTCACGATTAACTATAGTAAGGAGTTCGTTTGGTTTAAGTGGCAATTCATCTGGTTCTAAATGAGCATCCATGGAACCTGGTCCAGCTGCTTCTATTCCACGAGGGAAGAGCGCATAAACACGACCAGATGCGGCAGAACCAAGACGTTCATGTTGGACTGAATGTAGTTTTTTCAAGAAAAAATTACGAAAAAGAAGTCACTCAACTAATCACGGTAAACCCCTTTTAAACCAATTTAGAAAACCGAAAGATATCTGTCTTAACTAAGAACTACACGTTAAAGGATAGTAATTTTCTAAACAAAGAACTTACAAAGCTTTTTACTGGTAATATTAGAATTTTTCGCTCAAATAATGAATTGATTTTCTAAAATAAATCCTTGGAAAAACTTGTACTCGAAATACCAACTGAATACCAACAACAATGATAACATAGTAATTCAATAGAGGTACAAAAATATGGTTGTGGAATATTGTGGATTGATGCATACTGTTGAGGAGTCCCATACTAGGACGAAACGGCCGTTCAGTGCTACCAGATTTTTGATGGTGATCTAGTTAAGATCAGTTCATGATTTAAACTGTGAAATCATTGATCAACTTTAAAGAAGTCTGATAAAGATGATAATGTTGATCTTGCATTTAATGTAGTCGTTATCGAGTTCAGGAAACCATCTATTATTAGAGCTGTTTTACCAAACAACCGAGAAATCTTTAATTTATTAGCATAAAGCCGTTTTTCACTTCTTAAACATAGTTTAATTGTAAAAGTGTTTGTAACTTGCTACTTGTTTAAATTCTTGTTAATGGGGATTATTAACACTATAGTGCAATAACCTAATTTTTTATGGCCGAGGTTATTAACATTTTCACTGATCAACAGATGTATTGTATTCAGTAATTTTGGACAATCCGTCCATTCAGTATGTTGGTGTAGTTTTAAGGCTTACAGCTAATTATATTTGTGATCTCAATTCCGAATATCGTGCAGCACTACGACAAAATTTTCGTGGTACACAGTTGGGGATAACCCTCCAGACATTTGGAATGAAGTCTTCAATAGAAACTAAACTTCAATATCCAGCACTCATCCACTAAACAAGTGAAAAAAGTTCGAAAGTGCTGAACACAGCATGAACATTGAATAAGCTCTGAATAACCACAGCCATTTTGTTTTAACATAAAAATCTAACTGCAATTTTTTTATATGATAAATGGTTATCAAGATAAGCTGAAATTGCTCCTTTAAAAAACCAACTGACACTGAGGTATCAAAGATTAACATAACTATCATTAGAAAGGGTTTTTTGAAGATCTTGATAATTTAATAGTTAAATCCATGAGTCAATTAAAGCTAGACCATCATGGAAAACGTGGAAACACTGGACGGCCTTTTCGCCCTAGTATGGAACTTCTCAGCACTGAGCATCCAGGACCTATCGGTTTCGCGCGAATTGACAAATATCGACTACCTGATTAGATAATGAACTTTTTGCTTACAAGGGTGAGTTTTTTGTAAAAGTCTAAACGTCTGTTAGAACGATCAAGTAATGGAAACTTAGTAACCCATAGAAAATGTAGCTAGCCAATGATTGAAAGACACTAGTTCAGATATGCATGTAACAATGTTTTTTGATTGAGATCATGAATCGACCAACGTTAGACGAACATTTAAACGATTTTCATGAATATGAACATAGCTGGAAAGTAGAAACTATCAGAATTAATCCAGTTAATCTAATTGTGAACTGAATACAAAACTATTTAAGTCATATCACAATAGGCGTGAAAAAAAGATAAGGGTTGGAAAGTACAAACTTTCCTAGCATAGTGGTAAAAGAAAGAGAGCGTTATCAAAGTTATTCTAACGGTAATTTTAATGAGACGTTTTTATTAATGAATAAATATCTGACTATCAGCGATATCTGATGAAATTTATGATTGGATTTATCAACATTCTAGTACAGTCGATAGGGATTTGTAAAAACACTAATATTTCATCAGCAGTGATAGAGAAGAATCTCTAAAAATATGAAAAATTCAAACAGCTCGAATACCAAACCAAGAGAAAGAGTGAAAATGATAGTGAATTTATACTCCAAATCAATCATGAAAAGAATGATTATTCAAGTAGGAGTTGATTCAGATTTATCTTAAAATTTATGTTATTTTCAAGAAGTCTGTTAAAACAAAGTAGTTATTAAATCTATGGAAGTGAGAACAATTTACACAGAATAAACACATCACTTACAATACAGATATTCTTCACATTCAGCTTCTTCATCTCCTTGATCACACTTTTCCAAAGGAGTTTCCTGATCCGATAAAGTACGAGCGTGTAATGAAGCCCCGTGTTCAACTAATAATTTAGCTAAAGGTACATTTCCGCAAGATGCAGCACAATGAAGTGGTGTCCAACCATCTGTATCACCTGCATTTACATCAGCACCAGCTGAAAGTACAAGAAATTCAGCTACATCCACACGGCCAGCACATACGGCATTATGTAATGCTGTAATACCTTCATCGTTTGATTCAGAAACATCGTTAACCTATTTTTTTAAATGGGAAATCGAACAAACAAATTAATGAAACAATGTGTGAATACAAATAACAAATTAATTGGGAGTCAAATATTTGTACTACGAAGCCTTGATTTCCAAAAATATGTACAAAATACTAATATAAAATAAACAATTTACAGTGACATTTGAAGTGTACTTAGCATAAAGATTCCAAACATTAGTTTGATTCGTTTGTATTGGTTGTTTGAATCTACTCATTGATGTTTAAGATTGCAATTTATCAGTCTCTCTTTGCCATATATGCATTCTGTGAGGATTGCCTCGATATTGCCATCAATTCACAAGAATTACAGGCAGAGATGGATCGTAGCCAGCAGTGGAAGAGACTGATCAATTGCAATACTAAGCATCAATGGTTAGATTCAAACAATAAATACAAATGAATTGAACTTTATCCGATTGCACAAACCAGTGGCTATCTGAACTTAGTGATTAAGTGGATAACATGATGGCGTTTGAAGCGAACGGTACTAGGTTCCAGTCCCGGAATGAACATGAATTCTGGGATGCAAGTACACCTGACTGACGAGTCCCAGATAGGATGAAATGTACCGGGTAACAATAGTGAGGTTAGACGCAGGTTATTAGTGAATGACGATAAATCAATTGATGTGGTTGTGAGCTACTAGTATTTGACCACAGATGCCTTAGAAATATTCCTTGCATCTGCTGGAATCACCGCGTAAGTAATAGTGAGGTTAGACGCAGGGGATTAGGGAATGACGATAAATCAGTTGATGTGGCTGTGAATCTTGATCGACTGAGATGGTTGGGTTACGTGTTGCGTTTGCGTGAACACCAATTACCACGACGCGCAATACTGACTAGTGTTGGGGATGGTTGGAAGAAAGTTAGGGGAAGCCAAACCAAAATGTGGCATCAGTGCTTAAGGTCACTAACTTCTGGTCTTAGCCATGTTGGTAGATACAGACTACTTGGTTGGGGTCCGCGTGACTATCGTAACCAGTGGTTGCAGAATCTGTGTGACATGGCTCAGAATCGATCACAATGGCGTCGGTGTATACACTCTTTGTCTTCTCTTAAAAACTATGAGATTAACATTATTTCATATCTTTCTTTCTACGAACTAATTCTTTCTTCCTGTATTATATCCTTATATGCAATCTTTCTTTTATATATTACCACCATCGAAGTAAGTAATGCTATGAATTTGGTGTTCATTTTGTTGTGCTAATAGGTATGGCAACTTGGACCGATGCACATATGTGCCTGGTCCTACGTTGTGGCTGACTGACTGAAGATGAAATGTGCATCCTGAATCTCACTGTTAGCCACCATCCATTTCTATATCTACCTTATTTATTTGTTCTGAAGTGGCTTACATTAAGTCACGAAATGTTAGAAATAGCTTTCTACTCATTGGGATACATCACAAAATATATATTTATTATAATTACTTCAGTTTATTTGTGGAAAAGGTGAGCATATTACCAACTATTCGAGTAGTACATGTGAAATACTGTTAATATAACTATGAAAGTTACATAACTTTGATCACTGGAACTGACAAAAAGAGTGGCCAATTTATATGATGACACAAATAATAATAATAATACGAATATGAAGAGACTGTCATTATATGAAAAATACTTAGAAATATCGCGACATTCGAATCAAATTTGGTCTAAAAAATGTCGATTAAATTCACCATCAAACTAACAGGACCAGTTTTTTATAACAAATTATATAAACGGAAAGTTTATATGCTTTCTGCTCCCCCCTGGTACGGCCGATAGTAGAGAGAGTCAGCTCTCCCTCTCGAAATGCTCTCACATGACCACGTGCATACAACAACTGCCAGGGAAGTCCTGCTCACTGCCTTTCACCACAGAGATGTTGTTTACGAAACTGAGAGAACGAAAAGCAAATGTCCAACGCTTTAACATGGTTGGGGAATATGGAGGATCCACCTAGGGGAGTTGGAAAACCCTGATCCCAAACCAATGGTGAACATGGGCTGTAGGATCCTGATGGAACGAATGGCGTACAAACCTGAGGTTGGTGACCGGCTAACTTTGGCCGAATGTATATTTACATGTTAACGCGAATCTGCTGATGAACATCTCTTCATTACGTCATTGACTTAGTATAAAATTAATGCTACCATTCTGTTGTTATCTATTAATGACTGAACAAAATAATCTTGAATTTAGGCAGTAACTCGTATATTTTTCGCTTAATAGCCTATAAATGACTTTACTATAGAGTTATAAAAGTATATTCATCTGAGGAGGTTGGAGTATGAAACAATCAAAAAATATATTCTGGAAAGTGATTATCCAGCGATATTTGTGCTAAATTCGAATGAGAGTCTTTGCAAATATCTGGTTAGTTTTAAAGTCTGGTAAGAGAGTCATCAAAATTTTAAGAGATATACAGTCAAAATATTCATATCGGTAAAGTTCTGTGCTACATATTTTATGTACGCTTGAAGAATGCGAAGATTATGATAAAGAGTCCTATCATCTCGTACTGTCTCTATTAATTTGCGCGTTTTTTTAAACTGATGCTAAAACTGATCACTTTAGATGTAATTCACGAAAAAAGTCAACAGTTCTTTTTATAATGTACGATGAACTTTTATTTCAACAAAATTGATGCGAACGACCTAACTAAAATCCATTCTTGGAGGAAGTAAACAATTGATTAGTCATAAGTGTCAAAGAGCTCCAAATCCTCTGGTACGGCCGATAGTAGAGAGCGTCAGCTCTCCCTCTCGAAATGCTCTCACATGACCACGTGCATACAACAACTGCCAGGGAAGTCCTACTCACTGCTTTCTCTCATCAGGGATGTTGTTTACGAAACTGAGAGTACGAAAAGGGAATGTCCGACGCTTTAACATGGTTGGCGAATATGGCGTACAAACCTGTGGTTGGTGACCGGCTACCATGAGACTGCATCTCCTTACGTCGCTCCACTGCTTCGTGGATTAGACCATTAGTTCAAAGGCTCTGGGTGTGTTCCCCTAAGAAATTCATCTGCTTCAGTTTGGGCACCCGGGCAGTATCGCAGCTCACATAAATCGAATGATTTATGTAGCGCATATCTATTTGGTGTCTTGTACTAATGTTTATGTATTGAAATAAATAAACAATTATATCCTTGAAATTCTATTAGCTTATTCTTATATGAATAAAAAAGCATTATTAGCATGATGATTACTGAGTAAATTATAGATTATAACTAATACACTAAAGAGGTCAAAATATTAATGAACTCAAGAGTTTAATTATAAAAAAGGGAAATATCTCACTAACCTCAGAAGCTGCTTTTTTCACTAATTCCAAATCACCTTCCAATGCAGCATCGAGCAATAAAGCTAATGGATGAAATCGTACAGAATTCGATTGGCTTAATGAAGATGTTAATGATTGAGTTGTTTCAGTTATACCATCTAAGCTAGAACTTTGTTTTGAAGTCAGTGGTGATGAGGAGGGTTTTGATTTACGTAGAATAGATTTAACTTGTCTTTCAATGTAATTACCTAAAATACAATATAAAAAAACAGATGAGTAAAATAATTCATTCGATATTTTTTTAAAAATGGACGAAAGAAATTCCAACAATATTAACATGGTAAACTTATGAGTTCACAAGCTTAGACTCAATGATAACCCGGCTATATTATGAATATTACCTCGTATCACGTTGATAACATTATATATAACCATAAATGTAAATTGATTCAAACATATGATAAAAAAACCCACTTAAATGACGACATATGTTTCATACAACTGTCTACAAATGTAAACAATTGTTTGAATGATAGATGCACAGATATTCATATTCCATACTAACAGTTAGCATATCAAATTTCTTTATTCTAGTCCCAATCGATTATAATAACACAAGTAGAGGAGCCGACTGATTTTACAACTCTGTATTTAATACGTTACTATCGTATCAGTCATTATCAACACAGAGATTGTTATTGACTTCTGCCTGCCCAATTCCCTATATCACATCAAGTAGATGAGATAAAATATAAGACAAGATCAACAAGTGTAAACAGTAGTAGTATCAATAACAGTGAGAAAGAAAGGAAAATACAAAAAAGGGATAAATGCTATGAACAAAAAGTATCATACAATACTGAAACTCAAGACAACAGAAGATGAGTAGTGAATGTCTTTGCCACTGACCTACTTGGGGTCATATCAAACAATATTTTTAAACACGGATTCCTTTTATCGTGTGGACTCCAACCAGATAGTCTGCATCTGCCTGTACAAATCAGTCGAATCAATCAATGACTTCATGAACTCATTTCATATCTTGTCCCCTTTCCTAGTTGAATTTGCCTAGGTAACAACCAGATACTTAAGCCAATTACGATGACAGGGGTTTCTAATGAGAAACTCAACAGCAAACCAGATTTTTACAATTTCATTTACAGTTGTCTTGGACAGGTCGTTTATGAGTTACATTGCTTTATAAACTTAAAATATTACATTTTAATAAAGGTTATCGAACCATACCACCGATCACTGGAATAAAAACATATTCATATTTATATTTGGTGTAGTTTACAACATCTATCAACCTATAATTCATCTATCTAGATAGTATTGAAGAGAAAAAATAGAGATAATCAGATGACAAAGTATAATTAATTTAAAATTATAAATTCGAGTCAATTTAATATGAGGGTATCATTTTCTTTATGTCTCTACTAAAACAACTCATCAAATTGAGACATGGAGATTTTTTTCAGTACGTTTCCATCGTAGTCCCATACTAATAGATGATTTTTTCAATGTGAATATGAAATTAATATCACTTATATGGTTACGTGACAAGGAAGATAAAATTTTAGCATCTCTAGATGGATGACACAATTATAGTTCTAAAAAGTTAAGGATAAAGTATATAATCTATAGTAAATGGGTTGTACAGTTTACCAAACCGTCACTTGTACAATGAAAAAAAAAAGAAAAGTGGTAGTATTCCATTTTATGAAGACTGTGTTACTGAGGTTTAATGGAAAGAAGTGCATATTCAGAATTGTCATTATCAGGCAAGTATACTAATTTATTGAGCTCTGTTCTATTACAATAGAAAAGGGATTTAGTTAGATATTTGATCTGCAAAGCTAAAACTATTCACTTTCATGACATTTTCTAAGAGAAGTTTCAAATTATCTCAGTTCCACTTAGTACAAATAGATACTAAATAATTGTTATGAAATTGATTAGATAACTGAAGTAAATAACAGTTTTAAATAACTTAAATTCTATGATCACAGTATAACGGCGTGAAAATGATTGCAGGCATAAGTTTGTAACAAGTATATAATAAAAAACGAATATTAGCAGTACCAGTTCTGTTGATGACATTCAAACGATAGTCTTCATCTAACAAGACAATTCGAATTTTTCATTGTCATTTAAAAAGTAGATACTACAATAAACGGTCTTCATTTACAACAACAAGGCTGCAATACCTAGATCAAAGTATTTATTTATGAGTATAGGGATCTGCAGGAAAAAAAAACTCACAAGAGTTATTATTCGTGCTAACATTTACTCCATGTTCCTCATCTACATAAACCATAATTCCTGAGGAAATTTCTTGTTTGTTCACCTCACCACGTTGAACAATAGCAGTAGTGACAGTTGAAGGAGAAGTTATACTAATTGTAGTATGAATGGTAGCATTAGTTGTATTTATTGTTGTAGTTTCAGGAGTCATTATTGTTGTCATCTGCAAAATAGATGTTGATTTTTTAATTTGTGGTTGTTGATGTTCTGACTTTACAGTGTGGTCGGAACCGCCTAGACCACTATCTACATCACCAGAATTTTGTTGTTTCTGTTCATCTTCAGGTGAATCAAACTCACTGGATAATAAAGATAATTTGTGTTCATCGTCTGGTTGTATATCTATACCAATTAGTTCCAATGAAGATGAGGATGATGAAGGTGAAATGGATGGGGACGATGGAAGTGAACTAGTGGTTGGATGGACAGAAGTGTGAACATTTTGGTCAGGTATTTTGTCGCCATTTTCATTAGTGATTACATCTGGCTCATATGATTTGCAAGGATGATATATTACAGAAGAACCGGAGATTTGTTCTAACGATTCGGCATTCTTCACGATCTGTTCATTCGCTTTCATTGAATTAATGTTACATGTTTGTTGTTGATGGTGTTCAGAGGTAACTGAATTATTTGACCATTCAGAAGACGGTATCGTTGGTGCTGGTGATTGAATTGACGGAGGTGACGATTTCGCATTTAATTTGTTCACACCAGCTAGATAAATTTCACTAGCTGTACGTTTGTATTTTTCAACACTATCACGACATATACGACGCATATATGTATCATTAATTACAGCACGTGATGCATATCTTGGTGGAGCTTTAATACGTGGAATAGGCAGTGGGTGAATTGTAGCAGGTGATAGTATACTATCTTTATTACTAATGCAACTATTATTGCTGCTTATAGTGGTATTCGGGCTCCAAATACCATAACCGGGATGTAACTGCATGAATGTGCGAAAACATGACCGACGACTAGATGTAGGTGGGCTACTATCTCGTGTAAGCACTGAACTGAAGGCAATGTTTGGTGATGTCGCGCCGTCAATTGTTGTTACTGGTGTTCTTGATATAACAGGAGTTGAATGGGATATGGGAATATGTGGAAGGGTGATAGAAGAAGAGGGAGGAGGAGGAGAATGATCATCATGAGCATTTGGACTTTGATCAATTAACCTATTTTTATGAGGAAGGAAAACATACAAACATGAAAAATGGTGAATTTTTTCTTACATGTAAAATAATGAATTACAATAATTAAGGCTCCTATTTCGGGTAATGGCAATTAACTGATCGAATAACATGGATCGGTGATAAAAATGTATCTCTTTAATATGATTAATATTTAAACATAAATTGTCAAGGAAATTTATGAAAATAGAAACTATTAAGTTCAAAATTATAAAAGAAAACAATCTAATTAAAAATAGTAATCAATATCAAGTTTACCTAATCGTTAGCACTAATTAAACGCTATCAAACAGGTTGTAGTGCGACCACAAGTATCGACTGCAGCTGCTACCACTAACCCGGCAGTAGGACCTCTATACCATAGTGACATAGTAAAGCTAATATTGGCTAAAACACCGTTTTCTTTAGGTCCTAGCATGCCAGGTTAGTCGACTGGGGAACTGTGAGACCAAAAGCAGCAAACTTACATTCAAAGATGGGAGTTGACCTACAGAATGTACAGAGGTTTGATGGAAGTAAGTTTTTCCCTCTAACAAACATTATCGACAGATGCTACATTTATAAAATGAAAGGATAAAATTCGAAAAGTCCGATTCATAAAAATACAAATTTCACTTTACGGATATCCGTTTTCTGTTATAAAGCCTCAGGACACGTGAAGTTGAAACATCAAGAGCTACTCACAAAAATAATGTGTAACCAATCAGTCAGTCAGTCAGTAACAACGTAGAACTTCGTGCGTACGTACATCAGTTCGAGTTGCCACACCACATTAGCACAGATATGCAGTGGTCGATTCAAATCCCGTAGTGGTAGAGGTAATAAGAGTATAAGCAGTAATCGGGAAGATTAGGGTTTGGAGATGTTATTTAAAGAGTATAATCCAGTGAAAAAATTTGGAAAGAGGAAAAAAGGGAAATGAAGAATAAGATTAGAATTTGGAGAACACAGAGAGTGGATGCACCTGCGCCATTGCAAACGATTTTGAGCCATGTCATTCAGGGTCTCTAACCATCGGTTGCTGTCATCTCGCGGTCCCCAACCAGGTAGTCTACACCTACCAACATGACTCAGTCCACTTGTCAGTGACTTCATGGACTTGTGCCATGTTTTGGTTTGGCCGCCCCTAGCTTTCTTCCAACCTACTCCTATACCACTGAACATAGCACGTCGAGGCAGTCGGTCGTTGGGCATACGTAACACGTGTCCCAGCCATCTCAACTGATGAAGTTTCACTACGTCATCAATTGATTTGCCATCCTTACCTAGTACCCGTTTCCTAACAACTGTGTTACTTACTCGATGGTCCCATGATATACGAGCAATGTTTCGAAGACACCTATGATCAAATACTAGTAGCCTACGGATATCCTCTACTCTTGCCGGCCATGTTTCACTGCCATAAAGTAGGACGGAACGAACTGCTGCGCAGTAAACACGTCCTTTGGTTGACAGACGGATATCTCGCCTACGCCATAAATGACGCAAGTTGGCAAAAGCTAGTCGAGCCTTCTGTATCTGTGCTGAGATTTCGTCACAAACTAAACCACAAGGGCTGATGAGACTTACAAGATAAGTGAAGCGGTCGACACACTCAACTACTTCACTCCCTATCACTAGTTCGGGTGTCGATGTAACCCAATCTTGAAGCAACATTTCGCATTTCGAGGGAGAGAATCGCATCCCGAACATGCTTGCATTGTTGCTTAGAGTGGTCAGAAGACTCTGCATTTTGACAGCGCCTTCACCAAATAGAACTATGTTATCGGCATATTCCAAATCAACAAGTGAACCTCCCGGTAGAAGTTTAACCCCTGGAAATTTAGATGAGGAAAGTGTTATCTCCAAAAGTACGTCGACGACAAAGTTGGACAAGAATGGAGAGAGTGGACAGCCCTGACGAACACCACTTGAGGTAATCAATTCTGATGACAGTTCGCCATAAGCTCTCACTCGACCAGTTGTTTTCGAGTAGAGAGCCTTTATAAGGTTAATGTACTTCTTTGGTACTCCTTTCAGTGACAAACACTGCCATAGAACCTCACGATCAACAGAGTCGAATGCCGCCTTAAGGTCGAGAAATACTACCATTGTGGGGCGTCTGAACGTGTGTCTGTGTTCTAGAACCTGACATAGTGTGAATATCTGGTCTATGCAACCACGTCCAGGTCGCAAACCAGCCTGGTCTTCTCTAATCTGCTCTTCACGAGCTTTAGTTAGGCGTCAAAGTATTATTGAAGCTAATATTTTAGACACTATATTTGTCAAACTGATTCCTCTGCGATTGTCACAAGAGGACTTTTGTCCTTTCTTATAGACTGGCACAATCAGTGATTGAGACCAGTCAGATGGGATTACGTCCAGTTCCCAAATTCTACCTAAGACCTCAGTTAATCTCACTGCTAATACTCACCCACCATCCTCAAAAATCTCAGGAGTAAACCCGTCAGGGCCTGCTGCTCTTCCTCGCTTCAGATTTCCTATGGCTTTTTCAACTTCGGAGGACCTACATTAACTTGCCATTCAGGTTGACTGGAGATCGTGGGAAACCGAAGTGTGGCTGAAGGCCAGTTGAACTGATCCCTAAAGTGTTCTGCCCATCGATCCAATCTCCTGGATTGAGAATGTATAATATGTCCATCTTTCTCTAAGATTGTTTCGCTAACGGTCGGGTTCCTAATTCCGGTTTCCTTAACGAGTCTGAACAATTGTCTGCTATTACCTATTGCCGATGCCTTTTCCATCTCTCTTGCTTTCGCTACCCACCACTGTTCGCGATCATTGCGTAGACTTCTTGTCAGCTTGCGCTTAAGCTGACTCCGCTCTTCATTATGTTCAGAGCCAGGTGGAATGAGTTTCCGAGCATCTATCTCACTGATAGATGCTCGTGAGATCCAATGTTGCTCCCTAACCTGGCGGTTTACCGTACTAGCAGATATCACTGCTGTTTCCACAGCTTTTCGGATATCACTCCATGCTACATCGGGGTGGGCATCACATACATGGTTGCCTAACTGTTTTCCTAGTTGTTCCTGAAATATACCCTTAGCTTGACTATCATTAAGTAGGCCCCTAAGAGGTTTCCTTGCAGCGTCTTTCCTATCAGTTGATGAGGTTATGAATCTTCATCGACTGAATGGTTGGGCCACGTATTACGTATGCCTGAACACCGATTACCACGACGTGCAATGCTAACCGTGGTAGGGGATGGTTGGAAGAAAGTTAGGGGCGGCCAAACCAAAACGTGGCATCAGTGCTTGAAGTCACTAACTTCTAGTCTGAGCCATGTTGGTAGATGCAGACTACTTGGTTGGGGTCCGCGTGACTTTCGTAACCAATGGTTGGAGACTCTTGGTGACATGGCTCAGAATCGATCACAATGGCGTCGGTGTATACACTCCCTGTCTTCCCTTAAACTAAGAGATTAATAAACTAATTCTTTCTTCCTATACTATATCCTTATTGCAACCTTTGACCTAACCACTCCTATGAATCCGCTGTTCATCTTGCTGTGCTAATGAGGTATGGCAACCTGGACCGATGCACATATGTGCCTGGTCCTACGTTGTAGCTGACTGACTGACGTCCAGTAAGACGCAAGCAAATACGCGCTCGCACTAGAGCATGATCTGAATCTAAGCATGTGCTCCAGAATGAGCGACAGTCTTCTATCGAGCCCCTCCATCGGTGGCTGATAGCGATGTGATCCATTTGGGTCCAACGTTAGGACGAATTAGGGGGTCGCCATGTTAAAAGACGTTTTCCCTTATGCTTAAAGTTAGTATTCGCAAGGAACAGGCGGTTATCTGAACATAGCTGCAACAGACGGTCGCCATTATCTGTTCTTTGAGCCACGATGCTATAAGATCCACCCAGGTGTCTTTCTCTATCGCTTAGTTTACCTACTTGAGCATTAAAGTCACCGGCCATTATTACTACATCCGAACGCCTAGCTTTAGGGAGGAGGTCGGAGAGCTTTCTGTAAAACTCATCTTTTACATCATCTGAGCTGCAGTCAGTGGGAGAATAGGCATAGACGACGAAGAGGCAACGACGAGTGTCCCTATCTTTTCGGATCCTTACTGTTCCGTTCAGTCGGACAGCGCACAAACGACTGTCTACTGGGATCCACTCTAAGAGAGCTAGTTCTGCCCTAGGACTCAATGCTATGCCTACGCCGGCGAGGCCACGGGAAGCAGAATCATGGCTTCCAGATACACGAAGCGTAAATCGAGTCGGTTCTTTATTTTGGTATGGTGAGGTCAAATGAGTGACGCTACTCGGACCCTGTATGCGCGTTTCGGAGACGCAGCACACACCGATGGCGCGAGATTCTAAAGTCCTAGTTAAGGAAGCCTGCTGTCCTATTTGGCAAAGTGTTCGTACGTTAAAAGCTCCTACGTGTAGTTTAGAGCGTGGTTTCAGGAGACCAGGAATAGCGTTCCGCGTACTCGAATCGTTTGCCCTAGCGGTGCGAGATGATAAAGAGACGTGAGGAGGGTTAGTCATGGAGATAAGAGAGGTATTAGTAGGTGTAGGAAGGACTTGAATGTGACCAACTTGGTCTCGTGTGCTGTTACGGGTATGAGGGCTGATATCACTTCCCGACTGCCCACACCGTGAAAGGGTATTTCTTGAGGAACCTGAAAAGGAAGCCGGATTAATTTCGGCCTTAACGACCTGGGAGCGTGACCGCAGAGCCCAAGGGACAACTGCTTGAGGCCGGTCGCGCACGACCTTTTCGTGGAAGGTTTTTAACGTGTTAGCTCCGTTCTTCAAAGGGCCTTACCGCCGGAGACAGAAATCCGTGAGGTAAGGTGAGGTGTGACATTTTTAGGGTCGACCTTTTCTAACCACACCCCTCCTTGTGGGAAGGTAGCATCGCTGCAGATGCTGGTTGTCCGAGGGAAACATCTTACTGCCGTCACACCCCTCTACAGTCAGCAGTACAACTTCGCCCTCAGACCTTGAGTTGCTGCTTTTAG